ACTTTTAAAATGTAAAGAGTTTTATTAAGAAATTGCTTTTGGGTGTTTTGTTAAAAGTTTTCAAAGTGTTAATGGTTAGATTGAAAATAATTGCTTTTCAATAAGGGTTTGTAGGAATTGTATGAATTTGGGTTTTCTTCTAACTAGGTTTGAGATTGTTTTAAAAAATTATAAAGAAATTATAAAGGGGGAGTTATGAGTGATTTAAGGTTGAATGTATGTTTGCAGAAATTATGTTTAACCTATTGATATTAATGCACCCTGGTTTTGTGGAGTTAAGGAAATATTTAAGTTTGATGTGAATACATCAGAAGCTTTTCCTATGTTCTGTTAGCAAGAAATTCAAATGATTCTATTGAGTTAAAGTTGTAAGACTGAGAAAATTGTTAACTATAAATAGCAACATTTATGTTATTTCAAATGGTTTTGTAAAGAGTTTGCTTTGAGTTGTAAGATTGGGAGAATTGTGACTATGTATAGCAATGTTTATGTTAACCTGTTAATGGTAATGATGAAATTAAGGGATTCTTTAAGATTGTGATTGCATTAAGTTTTTGGTTTAGAAAGGGCTTGAGGCAGCTAAGACTGCTGAGGTTAATTTGGACCTAATTCAAAGAAGAAATGCCATCTATATCATTCTCTACTCCCATACTGGGGGGTATAACAACTATGGAGACTGCTGTAAGCTATTAATAATGAGTTATTTTGTATATATTAAGAAAGGGGGACCTGTGGGAGCCCATTTTCAGGTTCCTTGTGGATTTACCCAGCAGGTCCGCATAGAGGATGATTAGAACCACGGGCCTGAGTGCAGGTGCCTGAGATGGTCTGCACTTGGTTGTGCTGAGGGGAGGTCTTTTGCTCCACCCCATGGCGTCTCTATAAATACTCTGGGGCAGAAACAGTCAGGGCCCACTGGAGTAGGTTCCAGGCCCTCTCAAGGCTATCCTTTATTTTCTATCTGTTCATTTCCACAATCTAAATCCTTCTATCTAATATTTCCTGCTGCTCACACTCAAGAAAACACTGGGCAGCTGTGGGGTTGGTGGTAAACGCCCTGCAGGGGACCAAACTGGCCTCAAACTCACAGAGATTGGCCTGACACTGTCTCTCAAGTTCTGAGATTACAGGCATGTACCTCTAAGTCCAATTGAGATATATTTTTAAATGACCTACCTTTGACTCAGAGAAAGAAAGGATAAAATAAGATTTAAAAAGGGACAACCATACTTTTAATGAACATTAATACTGCTTGAAATTCTATAATTTGAACTCGAAAATTTTAAAATGAAAACGTTCTCAATAATTGGTTTTTTTTTTGCTTTGTTAATTTCATTCATTTAAAAATGTTTGAACTGTGTATGTGTGCATAAACCATCTTAGAGGTGTCTCTTATGTACTTTCCCTATGTGAGCTCCAGTGATGAAAACAAGGGAGTCACATGGCTGCAAGTAACCGCTGTGCATTTATTTCGTTTTAAATGTTACCTATGTATGTGCTGATATAGGAGTGTGTAGATGCCACAACCCATGCAGAAATAAAAGAAAAACTTGTAGAAGAAACATGGGTCACTTAGAGATAGAACTCAGGTCATCAGGCTTAGCTGCAGCCACCTTTACTGGCTGAGGCAATTGTCTGGCATACAGTTGAGCTTCTGAGAAAGTGTTATAAACAAATATTTAGTCTTCAGCATAAACAAATTTAGAAAAATGAATCATAATATACATATTTTCATATGCAAAGAGGATTTATCATCCAAATTGTCCTGTGTTCCTCTATACTTGTATGAAAATACATTTGCAATCTGAAAAGACAACAGTTTATTCATGTAATACTCCTACTAATCTTATCTGAGTATCAGGGGGATGGCTCAGTGGGAAGGGTGGTGTGCAAAGTTGGAAACCTGACCTTGATCATCATATGAAGTAGATACAAAGTTGTCTTCTGGTCTCCACAAATCTGCCTTGGCCTACAAAGCCATAATCACATTACACACATACCATAAACATTTGTTATAAAATAAATCTTATTGCCATTATATTATCTGGTGTCTCTCGAGAATCCCTTAGAAGGCAAAGACGGTCCTTAAAGATGAAATGCCAGATGGTTAACTAATGGGGACAGGAATAAGCATGGAAAGTTTAATTTTACATATACACATATATATACACATATAAATACATATAGATATATGTATATATCACCATATCACAACAATCTGTGGTATTAGATACACAGTTGACTGCTGATTATCCCATTTTATTACATGCCTACCAGATAAATAAAAATATTGCTTTGTACATACACAAGGTATTTAATGTTTCTTCCTATTTATTTATTTATTTGTTTGTTTCTATCTATCTATCTATCTATCTATCTATCTATCTATCTATCTATCTATTTATTATGTATACAGTATTCTTCCTCCATGTGTCCCTGCCGGCCAGAAGAGGGCACCAGATCTCATTACAAGTGGTTGTGAGCCACCATGTGGTTGCTGGGAATTGAACTCAGGACCTCTGGAAGAGCAGTAGGTGCTCTTAACCACTGAGCCATCTCTCCAGAACGGTATTTAATGCTTCTTATAGTCTCTTCTACTAAGCATTGTAACATTAACATTGTTATATCATACAGAGAAAATTGTACACTTTGGGAGTACATCATTTACCCTTGGAAAAGGAGGCTCATGAGTTAAATGTAGCCCTCAGTAATTACTGACATCCAAGCCAGGCTGAATAACAATCAACAAAATCTCAAGCAAATTTGTGAAAATATGAAAAACAAAAGCAGGAACAACCCACTACACTTTCACAGACACCTGTACTTGAAAAGTATGATCACACACTGCCTG